CTATATAATTAATAAGTAACAGGACTACATGCTTGTCCAATTTGGAAATAATTGGATTCAAAAAATTCCTCTGACAGCCAAATTGGACTTGGCCTGCGACCTCGTCCAATTTTGGCTGTCGTCGGAATTTTTTTCATCCAATTATTTCCAAATTGGACAGCATGTGGTCCTATTACATATACAAATCGTTAGCGCGCAAGCCGATTCAATGACAAAGTTGCGTAAACAAACCCATTTGTAATCTGTAAAACCAATTTACTGCAGGAAAAAAAAAATAAACATGTTATTTGCTGGCTTAGGGTCGGTCCGTATAGTGAAAAACTGTCGCCTCGGGCTTGAAAATGCTGCCCTCGGCACCCGCGGCCTCGAGCAGCATTTTCAACAAGACCTCGGTCACAGTTTTTCACTATACGGACCTCCTAGCCGGCAAATAACATATATATATTACAACGCCAGGTAAGAACATTACACGCTGTTTTGGAGACTGTGCGTAGACACTTTCTTCATGACTCGAGAGACTGATCTGATGTGGCCTTATTTGGAAGAGTATTCCACAATCTAACAGCACGATACGAAAACCTCTTTTCCAAGTTTTCAATTCCACATTTCGGGAGTGCTAAATTGTAGCCAGAGTCTCTGAGTTTGTAAGCAGTACCAGCACAATCAGGTCTATTTCTTCAGTAAGGTACTCCGGAGCTTTATTTTGCACAATTTTATGCATCATAATTCATTGCAGTGTGTTGTTCACGTCGAGCTCCACGAGCGTCCCACTGAAGCATCCTTAAACTGATGTCAGCAGATCTAATTTCCCAGTCACTTTCAGTGATGATTCCAGCTGATCGATAAAGAATTAATCAATTCTGTCGGACAGGTCTTCGTTACGGACGATAGCGCAAAAATTTTCCAGTCTATAGATTTTTTAAAAATTTTTACTGCAATCAGATAATGAGTTACTTATGTCAGAAATGCAAAAAAAATTGGGGGTCACCGACCTCGTTTGAGAGAGGAAGCGTGTGGAAAACTACCCTGATTTTGAAAACGTAATTCAGCATGGTCTACTGTGGTTTATAGTAAAAATATCGAAGGTTAGTCAACGGAAGCAAATGATCTTAGTCATATTTTGCAGAGGTGGGTCTGTTGTGTAAATAATTCCAAATGTTGCTAACGTTTTCACAAAATTTAACCCTTCAAAAGGCATCTGAAACCGCTGCACAGATAAACGAAGAGCTTAAAATAACGGAATTCGACGGTACATTTTGCAAACAATTCAAACTTCTCATCGATAGACTTTCTCCATTTTTTCGCTAAACGTAGAAAATCGGTAGAGAAAATGTCTTGATCTATCAAAAGAAAAATAGGGGTTAGAGAACGTCCAAGATCGTTAAATCCAGGCAAAGCAATAGCAATGGCCATCTGCCCAATCAATGTTCATTTAATTACTTAGCACGCGCATCGATGCATGACGTGGCGTGTGAATATGTGTGCGCAATAAGGATGCGCAGAAGCAATTAGCGCGAACGTCCTTAATATCTGCCCAAACTACATCACGATAATCGACTAAGGGGAAGAATCCCACGATTTAAAAATTGCGATTTAGCTTCTGTTGGGACAAAAGTCTAACTTGCTTTAAACCAGCCATGCCTGAAGATATCTTATTTGCAACATGGTCATTGTGGTTTGACCACGATAAGTGCTCATCAATATAGACGCTTGAAGATTTGGCGGCTTCAACTGTCACTATCGGATAACGTACCACCCAGTTTCATTCGGAAAAACTGGGGCTGTTTTGTAATTAAGAAAATTAATATATATATTGTTAATTCCTAATGTCTAATATAAAAAAATAGTTAAATAAAAAAAGCTGCTTTCCACGAATGCCGTGCCTTGATACTCGGTGTTAACTACGTTTAAACTTTATTTGTTGGCGATAAGCCATTGCCCGACTCTAACTCGCTATTGACCTTGTTTTCCAAATCACTAAAGCAAGATGCCTTAATAGTTTTGTTACTATCTAAAGCAAATATTCGTGCAATTAAGAGAACAAGGTAGATCATTGATGTTGATAAGAAATAGCAAAGGCCCTCGTATTGATCAAAGGGTTACTCCACAAGAAATTCCTAATGGTTAACCTTTGAACAGTTGACTTGGCACCTCTACTATCGACCAGTAAGGTATACTTTGCACCATGGAGTAAAATAGTTACTAACACTAGACAGCCGTAGGTTTCCCAATAAGATATAACGGTCAGTTGTGTCTTAAGCTTTAGCCAAGTCAAGAAAAACCACAGAGGTGACAAGGCCATTGTCGATGTCGATGTTGAAGTAACATTGTTTAGCAACGTCAAGTAAAGTTGATCATGCTGTGGAATGCAACGATCGGAAAACTTATTGATATTTGTGTAAAAATTGGTAAACCTAAAGGTATGAATAAAGATTTAGAGTGGACATACCTACCTTTAAATGAGAAGAGAGAAGTTTAGAGAACAGGGGAGGAGATGAGATGAAATGAAATGAAAGAGGATCGATAAGATGATGTAAGAGGACGGGAAAGATTTGAGATGAGATGAGACGAGATGAGATGAGGTGAGAAAACAGGAGAGGAGGTGATATTTAGAGGAAAAGGTCACTCCAAAAAGCTTACCGTTTTAGTCTTCGCCTACAGCAAGTAAACATTCGGCTTTTCCACTGACTGAAGTTTCAGCTCCTGCAGTGCCGCTATCCTGAAGAAATTCGTCTCGAAAGAAGCGATTTCGGAGGCCGCCATTTTGAAACTGTACTTAGCAGCCAGGCCGTCTTTATGTGACATCATTCCGTTCGACTCGAAATCGGCGGGAAGGAGAAAATGTATTTTTTTAAAGCAATTACCCACGTCACTATCTTCAATGCTTTCATTTCGGAGTTTGGAGCATGTTTGGCCCAAAATAATATGGCTCAAGAGCAGCCATAAACCAGAGTGGTAGTTAAAAGGCTTGTCGGAAGCCATTTGGACAAACTCTCTGAGACGAAATGACGTCACGAAAATGCGGCCTGGCTGCTGAGTACTATTCAAAATGGCGGCAACGATGTGGAATTTTGGGCTTCTTTAGAGACAGTTTTATAAAGAAAGCCTGTACTTTAGAGGCTGAAACTTTTGTGAGTGGCTAAACTTAGCAAGGTTTCTATTAGCGCTGAGAAAAAAAACGTCTTTTGGAGTGACCTTCTCCTTAAATGCGTCGAGACGGCATGACATGAAATTAGAGAAAATACTTGTTGAATACTTAGATTTGCATCTTCAATTACTACCAACTGCGTAAAACAAAGTTTGCTAGCCTTCATTTTGTGTTGTAAAATCCAAATCCAAATTCCCATCGTCTCAGGGTCCATCTTATGTCCCACAGGAAACACATCAGGCTGGTTAAATGCTTTACTTAAAATATAGGACTTTCCATCCCTGCATGGTCCAGCTATTGATACAACACATACGGGCTCTACAACAAAAATGCGAAGGACTCATTTTAGTAGCGCAAACTTAATGTTAATGGAGAAGGTTGATGGAATTCATGACGGTTGATGATAATTAAGAAATCTTCATAATAGTTAGCAGAGTTGTTATTCTGCTGTTTCTAAGTTTGTCATTGGTTTCTTTTTACCATTTTAGATGATAATTTAGTATAATTTCAGAGCTGAACAAAGAGTTTCCAGCAATCTGATTGGTTCAGCGATCCCTTATATGACGTTATATAAACCGTGCTAGACGGTTTATATAACATTTTCGAGGCCTGGCTACTAAGCTCGCCACCTTTGCCATCGGCAAGTAAACAGGGCGGACAGTTGGTGAATGAATTTTTCATCTATTCGGAAGACATCACTTCAAGTCCAGGATATTTGAAAGGATCCAGAATTTTCAAAATGACTGCTGTCATCCTTGGACCAAAAATTCTTTCAAGAACTCGTGTTCAAGCGGCAGTTAAGAATCGTAAAGGCAGTGGTTACGTTGATTGCCAGCAGGTCAGATCGATTGACCGAAATATTTTTTTCTCCAAACTAAAGCTACTCATTTTGAGACGATGATGACAACCGTGAATGAAGGCAACAGGGATAAAACAAAAGGTACCTGATGAATTTATTTTTCGTAGTGTTTTGCTTGTTTGTTTTACTGCCGAACTCGATGAGTAAACTGATTCACCTTCCATTCAAGCTTACATGTAAGCTTCTTATTAAAACTATACGGCTGCATACGTATATGCAAATGAACAATTGGGTCCCTGTTTTTATGTTTTAGTCCGTATTCTCTGTTGTTCAGTTCTGAAATTACACTAAAACAATTATTCGCTTCAGGCTCAGTAAATATTGTCGAATAATCCCCTCGACATCACCTCGCCTTCGGCGAATGACTGTTAAATATACATTTAGCCAAACCTAAAAGCTGAGCTTCCGATTACAATAAATTGGCCGGGCTTGAGTCTGGGATCCAATCGAAAACCAGTACGTAGCCAGCGGTAAACTTCAAAAAAACCAATCGAGGTCTAAACATGTGCCTGCGATATGGTCAGCGGATTCCTTGTTTGGACAGGTGTCAGTTGATCATAACTGAATATTCAATATCAAAGTTAAGCGCTGTAAACCAAAGCTGCATGCCTCGGTCGACTTATTAGTTGGAATGTGGCCGCCATGTTGCGCGACGTCGTCGTTTTTCGTCGTGGTAGGGTACAGGCACCTGCGATGCATGCCGCGCGCCATATTAACCATGAAAAACAGTTGCACGGTTTTCTCTTTCTATGCACACATCTGGTTCCGTTTCTATAGTTATTTTGTTCCCCTTGGCGGCCCTCCGGACTGCCGGAGCTCCACTAATATGTAGATGTAGCCAAGCCCAAAAGCGGAACTACTGGGTCAGGTTGTTCAAAGCTCGATAAAGCTAAGGATAAGCGAGAATTTTGATTCGAGTTTTGTAACTTTGCGGTGAGGCTTTCTGTATATTGTTTGGCCTTCTATTTTGAGTTTGAATAATCGCAAACTACACAAAACAAAAGCAGTGAAAAACTTTTGCATACAAGGAAAAAATTATACTTTATAATTAGTTAACTTTTAATCCTGAGTTAGGTTTAGTCAGCCTCCAAACAACAACAGTAGAACCCCGGTAACTCAAACTCGGATAAATCGAATCCCCGCTAACTCGAACCAAGTCCCATTTTCCTTGGATTTGATCCCACTTTTCAGTCATTTTAACTCGGTTAACTCGAACTCGGATAACTCGAATTCCCCGCTAACTCGAATTAAATTTCGTTTCCCTTGATAAAAATATACCCCGATAACTCGAATTCTGGTTCATATAACTCACCAGGGATGTCATCCCATTAGCTTTTCTTGTCCTTTAATCGGTACAAACACTCAAAACTAACACCACAGCAATTTAATTTTAATTAGTGTAACCGACCGTTCACATATTTTACAGTCATTTCCCAATCTTATGAGTCATACTGGATGCGGTGCCTTCAGCTGTCACTGTGTACTGAAGTGCTGAAAAATCAGCAAACTATCAATTATTAACATGGCAATTCGGATATTCAATCGACCCCGATAACTCGAAACACCGCTAACTCGAACTGGTTTTCGTTTCCCTTCAGATTTCGAGTTAACGGGGTCCTACTGTATTTACAACAAGTTAACCTGACACGAGCCCGCGATCCAACCGAAAACTAGCACTCGGTCAGCAGTCAACTTTAAAAAACACGTGACCTCGATGAGCTCTAAACTTTGAGCCCGCGATATGGTCTCGTGTTACTGGTCAGCGGATACCTTGTTTTCACAGGTTTCAATTGACCATAACATAGATGTCCGATATCAAAGAAATACGCTACAAAACAAGGCTGCAAGTCGCTGTCAACCTAATAGGGACTTTAAGATCCAACAACGCAGACGTAACTAAAGCTGACCGGAAGTAAAAGTACCAAAATAATCACCACAGCGCATGATCGTGACGTAAACAAGTTGCGCCCTTTCTAAAGACGAACGCGCTAGACGGCATTTTCTCGTTGTTAACAAACTGTATGTATTTCGACTAATTTCATTTACAAAAACATAGTGAATTGGCACTTTTTCTTTGTATATCGAAAGCTTTATCATCCTGGCTGCATGCGTCATTTTGTTTTCTTGTATTTTCTTGTCAGGCTTACTCATATTTCTGAACAGTCAGTTGTCATGGCCTCAAACTCCAAACCGCAGTGAGTAGATTCTTGCGTTGTTCGTTCAGTGAATTACGGCTAAAAAACAAATAATGATTTGCTGTATAAAAGCAATGTTGTTCCCGATTACAGTATTTCCTTTACGTTGAAGATTTTCGTAGTATGTTCAAATTCTTTCGAGTTCTTTACCAGCACTGTGCTGTATTTTGCGGCAATTCAATTCACACACTGTTTTCCGCAGGAATTGTTTGAGATTTTAATTTTAGAGGCTACGGGCACAGAAGTTTCGCAAAGACAAGAAAACATGTGAACAGAACCATAGAGACGAATATGTTTGCCAATTAAGGTGGCTCAAAACAGTTTCTAGCGTTTTGATTTTGATGGGTCGTTATAACTACTCTTTATCACTTGATGCTACAATCATGGTATCAACAAACTGCCCAATCATTGGTGAACACGATGTTATTATGTTATTCTGTACATAGGGTTCAGAGCCACCTTAAATTTTTGAAAATTTAAGGTGGCTCTGAACCATAAGTACAGAATTTTTTAAACTTTGCCAAAAGTTGCGTCTTTGCAAAATGTTTGCTTTAAGGTCGAACACAGTTTTCGCGCGGGCTTTTGCTGATGCAAAACATGCCTTCAATAGAGCGATCATTTTATTTACTCAACACCCGCACTATATGCGCTATTTTTCTCCATTATTGAACGCACTGTACTGATGCCTTTAGTCTTTTACTACAAAGCTATGTTAGAAAAGGTAACGACGCAAAGAACCCAGCAGTTCCCAGCTTTTTCTTTGTTACCGAAAGAACCCAGTCAAATGCAGCGCATGAGCAGTTGCTCGAAAAATTGAGACCGATTGCTTTTGCAGAAACTTGCCGATTTCTAACGATCCGGTCGTTAGAATTTCAAGAAATTTGGC